GGTCATAGTCCCAGGTAAGTGTCCATAGGATTTCAACCTTACTAAACTTACTCATAGAGTAGTTGAGACTTGTAGAAACTAAAAATACAAGTGTCATTTGCTTTTTAATCATTGGTTCTATATTAAAAAGAGCAAAACCTTCTTAAAATCTTACTAGCAAATTTGCCTCTAACATATACTGGTCAACAGTGGATAAAAAGGAACTCCACCTGAACTGTGTGTATTGTACAAACATCAAACATATAGACCAAATTATCATCAAAAATATACTTGCTAGTATATAATAAATGATGCACACCTTGCATTATTTTTTACCTTGAGTATCAGCCCTGGTGGCGCAGTGGTTAAATGCCTGTACTGCAGCCACTCACTCATAGACCACAAGGTTGCGAGTTCAATACCGGCCAGGGCTGAGGCTCGACTCAGGCCTGCATCCTTCCGAGGTCGCTAAAATGAGTACCCAGCTGTTGGGGGGCAATCAGCTCACAGTTGTAAACCGCTTAGACATCCCATAGCGCGATATGAAGCGGTATATAAATGAAGCTGCTTTGCTTTTGCTTTTGCATATATGAGTAATTCTATTATCATAATTGAAGTACAAAATAATACTAGAATATCTACCAAAAAACTTTTACTTATCAATACTGAAATTACATCGCCATTTGAAAAAAGAAATTAAAGTACACAGCTACTCTTACTGCCCTTCCATTTCTTTTTTTCAGTCTTTCTGTTTTTTCATTTTCCAAACTTTATGTGGAAGTGTTGAGGGGGCATGTAGGTTTGGTGACTCTATATCTCCAGTTTAAACTACCAGATTTTGGAAGCAGTGGGGCAAAGCTGTGTCTGCAAGCTTGACTGACCTTTAAACTACATGGGGTGAATGGAGACTGTGTGTGTAGGGGATCTTTATACAAGTGTGTAAAAAGTACAGATGCTGTCATAACATAGAGTGAGGCCAATATAATGCCCCAATGTGATTATGGCTTGCAGAGTGATACTTAAAATGTATTTTGGCCTGGGAGAATGGAGAGTTAGTCAAATATCCCTGATCTTAGTAGATATGTTGCAAACTTGCTGGCTGGGAGAAAAAAACCTTTATGCCCTAGGACAGGTGGATGAATCTTTGGCCCTCCATGTGTCTTTGACTGCGGTGCTCACAATCCTTTATCACTGGCCAAGGTGGGCAGAATTGATGGACATCATAATTCAAAACATTTACAAGCACTATCCATGTCCTTAAGTTGGAAAGTTATCTCACTAGCTCACTTAGCCCAGTCACCCCAGATGTTTGAATAGGTGGAATTCATGATTGTGCCTCTGCATTGGTACATCACAATTTGTTTCCAGGAACAATCCAGTTCAGAACAAACTAGTAAAAGCATAATTGTGTGTTTTTAAAAAGTGAATACGTCTGTGTTCTTACACATTGGCCATTGATTTCAGTACAGCTTATGCAAGAGAACGTCCCAGGAGATTTCTGTGTCATGTAAACTTACCCTAGATCTAATGAAGTTCTTGACTGGGAACTTCAGTATAAATTGGTGGCTTTTTTGTAGTATTTAACTCCTTATCTATTTGGCACAGATGATAAGGAATTTCACGTGAGCAAAATGGCAGATGTGGATAGTTTGCTCTGTCCCTCCCTTATCAAGTCACTTAGTTCTCTGCTTGTCATGGATGAGACAAAATGTGTACTTCCATGAGCACCATGGAAGCTAAGTGGGCTAGCACAGGAGAAATTTGTCCTCCCCCATCATCTGTGAAGCCATGTCTTAGCTATCATTCTTTTTTCTACAACCAGCATGGGAACCAGGTAGATCAAGAACATCCTGTCTTGACTAGCCTCGTTCGCAAAAGTCATCCTATTTTTCCCCTTTCCTTTCCTTTCCTTTTCCTTTCTTTTCCTTTTTTATTCTGACCTGCTAAGAAGTTAGTAGGGGGAAATCATAGTAATACATTTCAGATTTTACTTAAAAGCTAGTACATGTGTTCATTTCATACCTTGGTGTTTTAATTTTCTCTCATTATAACTTGACAACTACATGGTGCAACTTCTGTTCTTGCAGGTGGAGCCTCTTTGGGAGGTGAATATTTACTTTTCAGCTTCTTAAAACCTAAGTATTGTTGTTTGAAAAGCCCTTTACTTTTGCTTTTGTTTTGTTTTGCCAATTGTCTTAGAAGCTAAAAATAATTCAGAGCACATCACACAAATTTGTGCTAAAATAAAACATTAAATTTGCATTAATGTGAAATGTCTGCCAGCTTTTCGAAGTCATATTCTGCCTTTCATTGTTCACTTCAAAGCCTTTGTTTTCACAGTTGAATTCATTCTGCTGAATGGCTTCTGTTGGGAGGCCTTGAGGCAAATCTCTGGTTCTTCAGCCTCAATTCCTTACCTATAAAATGGGAATTATAACCTTTCACATAGGGTTTGTTGCAGGGTAAGGACATGTTGTTTCCTATCCTAAGCCAATGATTAAGTTATAAATATAAAGAAATGAGGAGTGCATGGAAAACTACCAGTACTATTTAAACAATTGTTTTGAATGTCCTATCTTTTTGATTTTCTGATTAGGCTGTTAAGCCACCTAAAACTGAAGCAAAGGTTGTACTAGCATTGACATTTGGATTGAGGCAATCAGTTTTTACACCTCTCATTTGGTGTGTCTTTCCATAATCACTGTGTAGATAGACTTTAACATAAGATGAATAATCTATATAAGACAGCTGGTTTTTAGATCTTAGACAGAAGGTTGAAATCTTTTCTCATATGTCAAGCTCATCAGGTGGTAAGCCACTGTCTCTCAGAAAAAACTTACTTCTCTAAGTCATTTTGAGGCTGAATTTAATCCGGCTCAATATGGTGCTGTTTGCTTCTTGAAGGAGTACCAATTTGAAGATAAAATCAAAGTCCACTTGCAAAGTCTGCCGGCAAATAAAACCAAGCTGTTCCAGTGCTATTCAAAAGCTTATCAATCATATGCTACAAGAAGATGGGTTGCCTGGATTTAAATCAAAATGGGACACCCAAGAATTATAAATGAGGGTGCTATCATTTTGATTTCAAAATCAAATGTAATAGGCTAGAACAAATACTGTACTTCAACTTCATACATGGTCGTGCAGAATATGATGATCTCCTCAGAGGCCCATTTTCTTACAGTGCTAGTGGAATATTGATTACTAAGCTTGCTACTCTTGCAGTTATGGCACACTGTGATGTTGTTGGAAGGTGGTTTTCTGCAGTCGGCAAATCCAGGTTATTCAGAAGCAAAGAACGTCATGGTGGGAGAGTCTCCCCTTGAGGGTCACACTGCTTTAAATTTTCACAGTCTCCTATGTGTCACCTAAAGTGAATTGGAATCATCATCTACACAAATATAAAACTAGAACATGGAAATATTATGGCGGGGGGGACTACAATTCTCAGGCTGGAAGATTCTGCAGGTTGTCATCCCAGATGTAACTTTTCTGAGTTCTGCACAAAACTCCAACTCTTTAATAACCATGGTTATAAATATGCAAGTGTTATTAAAGGGTCATGTGGCAGGAGTGAATTTTCTCTCTACAATGACATAAAATTCACAACTGGGACTTTTCTAAACTGTTTTTGGGGTTCATATGGAAATAGACATATACAGACATGATAGCACATGAATAAAAGTGGGCAGCCCCATTACATTTTAAAGATCTAGCTAAACTATACTAAGGGATAGATAGTCAAACTGAATGATTCTTAGTAAGAGTCTTTAGATTCATACTTGTTCAGAGAGTTGTTAGCATCTTCTTGCCTCATATACAGCTGTTTAGACTGTCTCCCAGGGGTAACTAGTCTCAGTTTCCATCCAGCAAGGCAGAAGTTTTTCCTTTCCTGGCATACACATGGGTAGATCCATGTGTGTTAGGCAGATGAATATAGAAAGATGAGATGGGATGAAAGAGATCCACATGGACAGGAACATAAAACTGTTGATATCCCCAGCGTTAGGCATTTGCCAGCACTGCAGAGAAACGCCTTGCGCTTTGGTTTCCCTATTTTGTTGTCTTTGAATAATGTATGCTTACGTGTGCAGCAGAGGTGATATGTCCAAGTATACCTTAACATTTCTATGAAGTGCTCAAATTAAAAGGGGATCAGAAGGTACTGTGCCCTTCCTGACATTTTGTGATAGTCCTCTTACCAAATGTTTTTTGAAGGCTGTGGGTTGGGGGCACAATTTGTCTAAAATTGTGGGATGGAGTTTATGAAGATTGCCCAGCTTTTCTCCCTTAATTTGAGCACTGGTTTTGTGTGATTTTGAAATGAGTGAAAATCTGAAGCTGATTGATTCTTTCCCTCATCCCTATTGTATCAAATCCTGGGTTTGTTTCCATAGGTTTTGAATCTCCATGAAAGAGATGACAGTTACTACTTTCAAAGTGAAACATGGCTAGTGACACTTTCTCCTCAAAATGCCACTTTGATGCTCACGCTAGTGCAGGCAGTGAGCAAAATATGAACCATAAAATTCTACTTTCCACCTCAAACATGTCTGGTTTTGTTGAGATTCAAACACATCTTGGGACTTGATCTGACTCCTCAAAAATGAAGTCTTCAAATGACACACAGATTTGTGGTTTTTCCTTCCTCAAGGGGGTATCGTAGCAGGAAGTAGCGGGAAAGGAAGAGGAGCAAAACGCAAGCAGCAGGATGGAGGAACTACAGGAACAGCCAAGAAAACCAGGAGGTAATCAGAATGGAGACAGAGATACCTACAGTAATTGGTTGTTGTTTTTAATTATTAATCACTGTTATTCTGCCAAAGCACATATATATTTGTTTACATTTCAAAGTAATGACATCTTGTTGTTGTGTGCCTTCAAGTTGTTTCTGACTTATGGTGGCCCTAGGGTGACCCTATCACATGGGTTTCCTTGGCAAGATTGGTTCAGAGGTGGTTTGCATTTGCCTTCCTCTGAGGCTGAGAGAGTGTGACTTGCCTAAGGTCATTCAGTGGATTTGGCCGAGCAGGGATTCGAACTTTGGTCTCCAGAGTCATAGTCCAGCACTCAAACCACTAAGTGATGCCTTCTTCACATACATTATCCAACAAACACAGCCTTATGTATAGTTGCTTATTAGGTCATTTGAAACTTTGAAGATAATTTTTTGCTTGCAGAATAATTTGTAACAGGAAATTTGGGCAGGGTGAGATGTAAGGAAAGAAAAGAGTCAATACAGAGAGGCATATTTGGGGATGAGTGGCTATTTGGGAGACAGCCCAGTGTAGCTCTACATCCTCAACCAAATGGTTGAAACTATATGCTTTCTATGATTCATTGACTAAAATTTAAATCGCATATTAAAAACCTGATTTACTGGGACAGGGACAGAATACAAAAATAGTAGGGCTTGTGAATTGTAAAAGCTCGTGCATGTAAACAAGATGTACCAGCTCCATCATTTTTCTCTCACATCTGGTGGGAAATAAGTTTTAAATATGCCTCTCTTTTTTGGTCTGCATCCAATGTTAGTATTAAATTCCAGTTTTCAAACTTAGAAACTGTTCCGTTCCTTCATGAGCTTTAAAACTCCTTCAGTGAGCTTGTTTCTCAATAAGTTGATTTTCCTTAAATGTTATCTATTGGATAATTTGCTTAAAAGCCAAAAATGTAATAGCACAATCCTGTGCAGTGTAGGCATATATTGTATATATCTGCTTCAAAATAACTCTGTGTTCAGTGGGGCTCTGTCCCAGGTAAATATATATAGAAGTGCAGCTTAAATCAGCTGAAAGCATTCATTTTAAGAGCCCTGCTATCATCATTTTTGCTTATATAACTGGCATCCAGCAGTGACCTGCCCCAACTCTGGCCTTGTGGTAAGAATAAACACAATAACTGCAAAGTACAGTGTGCATCAAAAGTGCTGTGTAAATAACATTTTAAAATAGATTATATCAGGAACATTCTTTCATTTCTTAGGTGATCTCTGGCATCATTATCCAGCTTCATGTCCTCAAACTGTAATGGATTGCAATTGTCATCATATTTGGTTCATGATGGCTGTGGCCAGTGGTAATTGCAGTCCATGAAATCTGAAGAGTACCAAGCTGAGCAAGACTGGAATATTTTTATCCTGAATGCTCTATTTTATTGCTGTAGGCTGTAATGTATTCTTTGATACTTCTCATGAGCATCCCACAGTGCTGAGCATGTTCCTAAACTGGAATGCTTTAGGGACCTTTTCTCTTGTAGTAATAATAATAAAAAAGGGTTAAACAATATCATGTGTGATTTTTTAAAAAATGTATCCTCTTCTCTATTACATATTATTTAAGTACACATTTTTTGAAGTTTAGTAACTAGGTATTGTTCAACACAAAAATAATTAACAGTTTCTACAAAGAACTATCAACAAGCTATTCAGTTATATCATTGTGACTGTGCTCTTCAAGTAAACAGTTCAATAAGAATGTCTCCACAAGTTAATAAGAAGGTAAGGAGGACCATATAGGGACACCTCTCTATTGGCAAAAACCATGAAATTATACCAGATTTGCACAAATTTATCTTATTTTTCAAACTCTTTAGCTCATCTTAAATTATGAGTCTATTTTTCAGCTAGTGCAGTGTTCCAGTTGCAGATTGATAACTCATTCAGTGTTCTCCAATATCATGTGTCGTGTTGAACAACCAAACTGCCTCTTCCCCATTCATTTCATAGCCCCAGTAGCAGTTCTGTTTCCAAACTCTTGTTATGTCTCTTTCTCCAGTGATCCTTTGTTCTCCGCTCAACGTCTTCCACCGCATGGCTACCCCTTGGAACACCCTTTTAACAAAGACGGCTACCGCTACATTTTGGCAGAGCCTGACCCTCATGCCCCTGACCCAGAGAAGCTGGAGCTAGACTGCTGGGCAGGCAAGCCCATCCCTGGAGATCTTTACCGAGCCTGCCTCTATGAACGGGTCCTATTAGCTCTTCATGACCGAGGTATGGAGCTGAAGACATTTTGTGCTTGCATTCAAGGCTACATAATATTGTGCAAAACCAACCCATGTTGGGATTTCTTAACAGTGAAAGCTTGACTGAAAGATTTCTACTGCTGCAAAATGGGTGCTTTGAACAGAGTCCTCAGTTTGTCAGGCTACATTTTTATGTGCTTCTATGTACTAATGTTATGATTAATAGAATCATAAAATCATAGAGTTGGAAGGGTCCCCATTGGCTATTGAGTCCAACCCACTGCTCAGTTCAGGAAATCCAGCTAAAGCATCCACAGCAGGTAGCTCTCCAGGCTCTTTCTGAAGATGTGCAGAGGAGGAGACCCTACTACCTGTCTAGATAATTGGTTCCATTGTTCAATCATTCTTACTCAAGAAGCTCCTTCTAATGTTCAGTTGAAATCTACTCTCCTGTACAGGTTTACCTGAGTTAACAAATTAGATGTGTTCCTGAGCAGCCACACACAGCCACAGTAGGATCAGCTAGAGTAGAATCCCATTCTTTCCCAATTCAAGTTTAATTGCATTATTTACTGCAAACAGTAAATACCAAATTCTGTGTCTGCAATCTTCCCTCACTAACTTCCCACTGTTGATACTGCTAAAAAAATTATAACTCAAAAGCAGACGGGAAGGAAAAGTTGATCTGGGTAAGCATAAGCAGGCTTAATAAAAAGGAGCTTCTTTGTCAGAGATGGAAGTGAGAGGTGGTTAAGTGAGGTATGGCTGTAACTAAAATCCATTAGACCTAGTATTATTATTGTGTCATGCTGATAATGCTTAAACTGTTTTGGGTGCAATAAAATGCTGGTAAATTCTCCATATAAATAGGCTGCTAGTGCAGGATATTTGAAGGCCTCAATCTTGTATGGTCAATGTAACGTAGTAAGTGCTCAAGCAGTTGGCTAAAGTTTGCAGTCAAGTAGGCACAAACGAAATTCAAAGGGGCATCCATTATTATCAAGAGGGAAGGGGCTCAGTAATTAGTGCACACACACAAACGCAATATTTTGAACCCTTGTGCTGCCTTTAAATTCACAACTTTGAACAACAGTACATGATGTTTTCCTTATTGCATCCCACAATACTCTCCTGTTTGGTATGTACTAGTTGCGGATGATAGAAATTGTAGTCGAAAGCATCTGGAGGGTACTAGGTTGGGAGAAGCTGCATGAGTTTCTATGTCTAGGGGAGGAGGGGGGGGCTATGTCATGTGTGTAAGTCCAGTCATGTAGAAGGAAGTTACAGTCCAGCAAAACCTGAAGGGCCATGGTTTCCCTGCCTTGCTCATATAATCCTGCACTCATCTATTTATCAGTAGAATACTTTTTAGAGTCAATCAATACAGCCAAAGTAGATGCAGACTGTAAAGATAAGCTCTTGAGGCTTCAAATCCATCTTCCATAATAGGCTAAGGTATTCTGGGAACTCTATTCCTAACCCATCTAGAAGGCAACAAATTGGGAAAAGTTGCTTTAAATAGATCAGTAAGGTCATCTGAATTCTTAAAAGTGTTCATTTAAGTGTTCTGTCTTTCTGTGTCTCTGACTGTCTCTCTCTCTCTCCGTGTGCACACGTTTGCATTTGAGGCAGGGAATAGTTTTGAGTATGTGGCAGAAGAGCATTTAAATCTTTAGTCTTAAATGGCTACTTCCCCTCTTTATGATTTGAGAATTTAAATACATGGGAGGCTTATTGTTATCTCTCTTTTCTCTTCAATAACTGCAGCACCTCAGCTGAAGATCTCAGATGACAGGCTGACTGTCATAGGGGAAAAGGGCTATTCCATGGTGCGAGCCTCCCATGGAGTGCGGAAAGGAGCCTGGTACTATGAGATTTCGGTGGACGAGATGCCTTCTGAAACAGCTGCCAGGCTTGGTTGGTCACAACCACTGGGTAAGCCTGGGAGAACTTCTTTGATTCATTTGCATTCATATCTTGCTTTTCATCCATCATGGGCCTTGAGTAGTTGCACAGTGCTCCAAAGCAGCCTACTGTCTAGTCACCTGTCAAACTCTGACTGGCTTACCTTTGGCAAGGTAATAAAGGTGATTGTGCCATGTGCCTTCAGACCCCTGTGGTGGGTTAATTCAATTTCATGCTATCTTTTCATGACCCAGAATTGTCATATTAGAGTAATTAAGCCAGGAATGGGCAACTTCAGCAGGTCTAGAAGACCTTTAGCAGATCCAAGAAACTCCTGCAACAGACCTGCTGTAGGCTGCATCCTTGCCAAAAATGAGGGAGCTTGGTTTTGTAAAAAAACATAGAAATGATTACTTCACTTTCACTTTTAAATAAACAGTACCAGTTTTTTACCAGTAAAGCAAGGTCATGTGTCTTCCTTTAGAGGGGAATTGCTGCTCCTGGAGGATCCTAGCAGTCTGTTTTTGTTTGGAACAAACCATGCTTATTTATTTTTGGTAGCAATGGGAGGTGCTCAAAAACTTGGGCTTGCTGCCCAGTGTTGAGCCTACCCACTGTCAGCTGCAAGGACACAATACCCTTCTATGTCTTTGCTCATTGCAACATCCACATGAGTCAACCAGTTATACCCAGGTAGAATACTGACATTTAGATTTCTAGTATGCAACATGATTACACTATTTTTCTGTTAACTACCTCTGTTGTTGCATCCAGAAAGTCTTGCAAGGTTTGCTTGTTTAATTTAGATCCTACCTTTCTTCCAATATGGGGCTGAAGGTAGCTTACAGTATAAGTTAAAACAAAATATAGTTAAAATAATTGGTTGCCATGCTTCATTGTAGTAGTTAAGGACACTTAGAAGAAGCAAGTGACATCAGCACATTGGGGTGGGAGGGTCTGCTGCTAGGAAGGAACAAAGAAGTCCTCTGTCTTTAAATGTACACAGTTCCTTCTCCTGAAAGATCTCTGGGAAATCTCTCAATATACATAATTTCAAGACCTTTGTCATAATTTCTGGTTTTCTATAGGGAACCTTCAGGCTCCTCTGGGCTATGACAAATTCAGTTATTCCTGGCGTAGCAAGAAAGGCACAAAGTTCCACCAGTCCATTGGTAAACATTATTCATCAGGCTATGGCCAAGGAGATGTGCTTGGTTTT